AGCTTGATATGGTGAGTTCTTAACAGCGAAGTAAATCGGTGATTGAATTTCCTGGGGTATAGAGGTGAACTCAGGAATATGAACAGGAATAACATCCAAAGAATTTTTGGGGTTTTCAACAAGACTCTTTCCAGCGGTCTGGTGCTTCTCAATCATTTCTTTCATATTGTTCAGTAGATCGATATGAGAATTTATGATATTAGCTTCAATTTGTGCCAACTTACTCCTTAATTCCTCTTGTATTTCTTTCTGCTCTATCTCAAATTTGGCTAGCCTATCCTCAGTTTTTTTAGACATTTTTCTTGTGTCGTGCTGAGCGTTCTTTTTTCAAAGAAAAACCAAGATCACTTCGTTTGAAATCCTTATTTTAATGAATGAATGTTTTAATGTATTATGACATAAAAAAATGCAAAGATGCCAAAGGCAAATGTAAATACGTGAATAATAATAAGAATACAAATTGTGCAATACAAAAGCAAACATGAAATACAAATGCAAAGATGCCAATGCAAATGTAAAATGTAAATGTAAATACAAACGTAAAAAAATGTACAAATGCAAAATACAAATGCATGTATGAAAAGGTGTTTACTCAAGAGTGATCGTCTTAAAACCAAGATCACTTCGTTTGAAATCCTTATTTTAATGAATGATGTTTAATGTATTTGACATAAAAAAATGCAAAGATGCCAAAGGCAATGTAAATACGTGAATGTAAATAAGAATACAAATTGTGCAATACAAAAGCAAACATGAAAATACAAATGCAAAGATGCCAATGCAAATGTAAAATGTAAATGTAAATACAAACGTAAAAATGTACAAATGCAAAATACAAATGCATGTATGAAAAGGTGTTTACTCAAGAGTGATCGTCTTAGAACAGATTTCATTGAACACAAAAGTTTCGATACATCAAACAAAACTTTACATATAAGGATATCTTTCACTTCTAACTTCTCCAAAGCCCAGTTAGTTTCCATTGAGTCTTCAATCTGCTTCATCTCCTTGTAAAGTTAGCTAAATCTATCATTTAAAGACCATATTGCTGTCTGGACTTGAACAAGATCCTCATATATGTTGTAGCTCTTTTTCAGCTTGGTGACCCCTGTTATCCACTCTTCTGGGGTACTTCCTAGGCCAACATTTTGAAAGGTTTGACTGATCTTCTGAAAATCTTCATGCATGGTTTTCATTTATGTGCTCAATTTCTTGTTTTGGTCGTTCAAGTCCTTCAAATAACATGCTTGAGCTTCATAAAAATCTCCACTACTCTGAATGTCCCGACTGATACTCTTACCATAGACTGCTTTTGGTATCAATCTGGCAGAATCTTTGTAGAGTACTTTTGGTATTAATATAACTGGTTCTCTGTGTACAGAACTTCCCTCGATCCTCGTAGTTTCTTCAGGATGTTTTTCCTTGGCCGCATCATATTTTGTTTGATCATAAAACTTTTTGTCCATTTACGATTTCTTTCCAATATGATGAACAGTCTTTCAAGTCAACACCTTTTGGTTATGCCATGATCATGTAATGCAAACAAAAGAAATCAATATGAACAGATTAGAACAATGTAATATGCATGAAAAAAAATAGAATAGTTAGTACCAACTAATGGAAAAAAAAATCTATCTATCAAGGTATAAATCTTAACCTTATGCTTTCTAGTTCCATGATTTGTTTGGAAAATTTAACCTAACCTCATAATTTCTTGTTCGCATGCATTTATTCAGGAAAAAGAAAAGGAAATAAAATAAATTAAAAGCTAGAACTTATTTCTCCTTGTGTATACCTACTGACAAAATTTCGGCATGGTTTCAGATCAGGAGAGTTTCTAGGGTTTATTATATGCAGGTTTTCAGTTCTAGGAGTAAAGGTACTCTAACTGTCCTTGTTGATGCCCCCTTGGGCTGTTAACCCTCAATCCTAGTCCATTACAGACTTAAGCGGATCGAGTTCAATTCGAGGGGATACATTTCTCTATACCTGACACGGAGAATAAATTCTCACGAAGACATAGAGCATATGAACCCCGAAAGTTACTTGCTAGGTCTGACACGGAGAATAAATTCTCACGAAGACGTCGCTTTCACTCCCACTTAAAAGGGACAAACTCAATTATAGAGCTTTATGTTATGCAATACAAGTGTTGTGTGTGAGGAGAAATATTCAAACCTCTAACAAATAAATAATAAAATTTAATATTTGAAAATAAAACATTAAACAACATATAAATATTATGAAAATAATAAGTATATATATAAAAATTTTGAAAAGAAAGAATTAAAAATTAAATATATGAATTTTTAATTTTCTAATTGATAGAGACAATTAATAATTGGTTTTAAAGTTTGACCAGTCCCCAGTGGAGTCGCCAAGCTGTCGCAACCTGTTTTCGTCCGGGCACGAATTTTTTTACTCGGCGGGAAAAGTGATGTGAATAAATGGTTTTAAAATAATTTGGGAGTCGCCATCGGCCTTTCGGGTCAGGTAGGTCGAATACCTAAAAATCATCCTTTAAAAGAGTTTTTAAGAAAACATCGATTAAAAGATAAACTGATCTGCGTTTTAACCAAAAATTCGTTCTTTTTGATAATAAAAAAGGGATTCGTGGTCGGTTACGTTTAGGGAATGATTAGCACCCTTACAACGCCCAAAATTGGTACTTTTTAATTAGAAATTGTCTCTATTATTAGAAATTAAAAATTCAAAATATATTTAATTTATAATCCTATTATTTTAAGATTATAATTATGAAAAATATATATTAATTTATATATATTTATAAATAAAATATTTATTTATTTAGAAATATCAGAAAAAGACTTCTAGGTGCCTTAAGACAGCTCTTTTCTTTGATATTAATAAATATTATAATAATTTAAAAAATAAATTATAATTTTTTTTATAATATTTAATTTTAAAATACCAGAATAGGACATCCAGTTGTATTAAGACTGCCCTTTTCTTTGATATTGAAAAATAAATAAATATTAAAATATGATAAAAATAATTTATGTAAAATCAAATTAAGATTTAATATAAATTATTATTTATTATATATATATATTTATATGACTATATAATAATAATAAAAATAATATTTAAATATATAAACAAGTAAAATTAAAACATAAATAAACAATAATAAAAATACAATTAGAACTATATATTTAAAAGCAATAAAACTTTATAACAAATGAAAATATTTAAAATTAGTGACTAAATTATAATCTAATAAAATTAAATACTTAATTTATAATTAATTATTTAAAATTATAGGGATTAAACATGCTATTTTTCTTATTTATTAATTTAGTGACTAAACTAAAATTATATAAAATTCGAATATCAGATTAAAATAAATTAAAACATATGATTTGGGGTTAAAATATTAGTTAATAAAATTAGGGGACTAAATATGTTATTTATCCTAAATATTTATAAATATAGTTAATGGTTAAAATATTAATAAAATAAAATTTAAACACTAAATTAAAATGATTAAAAGTCAATTTCAGTGACTAAATTGCAAAGTTACAGACCTATAAGGGTTGCGGAAAGGGTTTACCCTTTCTTAAATTACACAGATACCCCTCCCCAAAACGGCGTCTTTTGGAAAGGGGTTTAAATACTCAAAATGGCCGACCCTACGGGCCAAATTTCTCATTTCTGTTTTTCTTCTTCTCTCTCTAAAAAATAACTCTCTCCCTTCTCTCTAGTTTCTCTCAACAGAGAGATAGCCGGCCGTTGACCACCACCATCGCCGTCCACCGCTCACAGTGGCCGGAACTCCCAAATCCCCCAAAATAAAGCTATGAACACCCTAAGACCGATTCCAAACTCCTTTTCTCCTAAAAAGCTGTAAAATTACCTAGATCTATGGAAATACGTTCGGTATTTTCGGCTTCTTTAGTGGCTCGTGTAGGTTCCGATGGCCGTGCTCCTTCCTCGGTAAGTGCTTCTCTTCTCTTTTCTCTCGGTTTTTTTTTGTTTTGGTTTCTGTTGATGTGTTCCTCGTTACTGCATCTCTCTCGTTTTTGGTTGTGGCTGTCCTCCTCCCTTCTTTTCTCTTTTTTTTTTGTTGTTCTCCTTTTGTTGTCGTGGCTCCTTCCTCTCGTTGCTTGCTCGTGGTTTTGGTGGTTGTTCTCCTTTTTTTTTGATTTTGCAGATTTGGTGGCTTTATAGCCACCACCAAGGCTCACTATGGACCAGTTAATAGGGCGATTTTCCGGTGAGTCACCAAACTATGGTGGTGACTCACCCTATAGCTTCAATGTGGAAGGGCAGCTGGCTTCTGGATGCTGCTGGAAAGGGTGCTGTAGTAGAGCTGAAACGTGGAGGGGCTGCTGCAGTTGGAAGCTGCTGGAATTTGCAACGTGGAGGGGCTGCTGCAGCTAAAAATTTAGTGTCTACAGGACGAACGCAAGATTTTATACATTTATCCTTGGATCCACGTTATCCGCGGCCACCAAAAGTACCTGTGAGTACTCATCGAGTAGACGGGTAAATTTTTTGTTAAGGGTTTGTTGTTAAAGGTTACAAGAAAAAGCAGAAGAAACAATTTGAAATGCTGTAGAGACATGGACAAGAAAAATCAGCTTTAGACTTTGATCTTGTACTATAGATCTTGTCACTTCAGTAATTTATACATTCGGGTTCAAATGATGCGACTGTCGAAGGGCTGATGTGTTCTTTCATAGACCCTGAACTTAGAGAATACATTGCCAAGAATAAGTGAAGTTCAAGTTTGTGAAGGCTTAGGATCAAAGATGTTCATTGTTCCCAAGACTTCATTTGACTACTCTTACGTTCTTTACCAATAGGCTTTCATGGGGAATTGGCCATGAATCAATCATGCCATTCTTTTTTCATTCCATCTTTTGAACAGCATTTGTATTATCGTATCGGGTTGGATCAAAAATCGACGGATTCAAATTATTTTTATTAGTTAAACAATTCAGCAATGCGTACTGTTTTCTTAAAGATGAAAAGGAGAAAAGACTGAAAGGTATTTGTATATACTATTCTGTATATGTATATACTAAAACTATATTCCTTCAATTGCCATTTGCTTATGAATCAACCCCTTGCCCTTGCCAACACCGTATACACTTTCGCATCACCTCACGAATGTCTTCCGCCATATCGGCGCTGCCGCTGCTGGTACGAACTCAAAGCCTCGACGAAGTCTTCCTTCCCGAAATCGGGCCACAGTTCTTGAGTAAAGAAGAGCTCAGTGTAAGCCAATTGCCACAACAAGAAGTTGCTGACCCTGAGTTCTCCACTGGTTCTTATTAACAAATCCGGGTAGGGATACTCGGTGCAATTCGTTTCCAGCTCTTGTTCGATTAAGCCTTCATCGATGTCTTCCAGTTGGATTTGGCCGTCTTTCACTCTCTCGGCTATGCTCCGGCATGCTTGTATGACGTCGTATTTACCGCTGTAGCTGACCGCGACGATGAGTTGGAGTCGGGTGTTGTTTTTCGTGGTCTCCTCGACTTCGTTGATCAAGCTTAGCAGGGATGCGGGAAGCTTCGATGAATCCCCGATTACCGATATCCGAATACCACTTCTGTTGGAAACAAAATACGGTATCAGATACTTGACTTCCAGCATGTCATGAAATTGAGCTATACTATTTGTCTCAAATTACCTTCCAAAGGACTCCATCTCCGACTTCAACGCTCTCTCAAACAAACTCAGCAAGAAATTAACCTCCACCTGCACTTTCACAACGGCCCCCATTAGTATTCACTCCCATTTTAAGCTTCTAATGTCTTAAGTATGAATAAATTAGTTCCATCACTTTTTATTCGACAAATATCGTTATCGTACTATTGACTTATGGTCATAAGATACATCACCACAATTTTTAAAGTATCTACTGTAGTGCAATTAAGGATGCACATGCGTCAAGTCGTGTATTTTAACGTACCTATCTTGGTTTTTAAGGGCGAAAGGCGTACAGAGGCGCAAAAAGTCCTAGAGTCTGGACGCAAGATTTAAGGCAAAGACACACGTCTTTTGTATGCGAGGCACACCATTGGTACTATATAACATAAATCAATCTAATACTTTGACAATACATAAATACTTTGTAGGACAAACATAACTACACAAACTTGAATTTCTTAGACAGAATAATAATAATTTTAATATTTAAAACTTTTATTTTATTTATTTTTAAATGATATAAATTAGTTTTATAAGAACTAACTTTATATTTAATAAAATTTATTAAATAAGTATTATTAAATTTAATATTTTACTATTTTAAAATTAATTAATTATATATATATTATTAAATAAATTAATTAAAATAACATATGTATTCTATAAAAAAATAAACTATTCAATAAAAACATGTAAACAGTGAAAGAAGCTATGAACTTGTTATAATAAATAAATGTTAGGGTGGGCTATAGATTTGGGTCGATTTATATATATATTTTTTAAAAAATCTGAAGACCGCAAAGAGGCTGCGTCCAACACCTAACGCATGTAGGCGCACGCCTTCGGCCGCCTCTCGTAAATCGCCTTGCCCCGACCCAGGCGGGCGCTACCTTCATCGTCCGGCTGTACCTTGCACTTAAATGTGCATTTTAAAACCTAAGAACTATCAAAATTTTAAGTATTGATCGCATTAAATTTTTAATGATAGAATATTAAAATAAAATAATTATAATTAAAAAATATATTTTATATATAGTAGGTTTAAAACAACATTTGACAGCTAATTTTAATATTTTTAAAGGATTATTTAAATTCTTTTACCTCGTGAATATTTGAACTGATATTTTCTAATATGATAATCAATTTTTAATTTAATGTGATATTTATATATGCCTTATTTTATTAAGCTAAGGTGATTATGAAATAGTATTTATTTTAAATATTTTCAATCATTTGACAATGAACATTCAATCACCCTACTACACTTGCTGGTACTCAAACCTGTTATCTCTAGGAACAATAACGATTACTTTAACAATTGAAGTAAGTTGATTTGTGTAGATATTTATATGCGTTAAAAATATATTTTAAGTTCTAAGTATATTTTTTATATACTTAGCATGTAATTAAAAAAATATTTTTTAATAAATCATTTGTAATTTACTTGGCATCAACAACAATGACTAGAACATAATTTATTAATACGATCATGAATCCGATAAAAATAAATGGAATCAGTAGTCTATAATTTACCTTGGGACGAATCCAGTTCTCGGAAGAGAAAGCGAAGACCGTGAGAACCTGGATTCCCCACTGACCGCACAGCTCCACCATCTCCCTCAACGACTTTACGCCGGCTTCGTGCCCCGCTGAAGTCGGTAATTCCCGCTGGCGAGCCCACCGGCCATTCCCGTCCATTATCACCGCAACGTGCTTCGGCATCAACTCTCTGCTCAGCCCCGCCGGCAGCTCCACCTCTTTATCCTCCACGGAAGCCCTCCCATCCGTTATGTCAGTGGTAGCGGCTTGCAGCTTATAGTCGTATCGTTTGGGAGGAGAAGAAGAGAGGCCCGTTTGTTTCCAACCGGTTTGAACTACTAGACCAGATTTGGGTTTAGTCTTGGTAGGGATTAACGTATTCGCCGTAGGAACAGCGAAGCGCAGGGATAGCATTATCTTTTCCTTTTATGGGAATTCGGTAGCTGCGATTTTTGCCGCCACTCTGCGTCTTTCGAACAAAAGAAGCGCGCTCGAATCTCCTGTTTGGATGGTGTGCATATAAAACGGAGGATAAGGTCGGGAGATGAGAGGAAACGGCGCCGTTTAGAAGGACGCGAGCTGAGAGGAAACGGCGCCGTTTAGAAGGACGCGAGCTCGATATATTGGGTTCCAAAATGTGGCTTTGAATTTTTTTATTATCACGTGAGGTTAAAAATATTATTGGTTGAATTATTTTGGTTTTCTTTAATTACGTAGGCTGCCTAAATTCTCCTAGGCCACTAATTTCTTTTTCTTTTCTTTTTCGGTTTCTTGCGAAACTAACAGCGACGATGATTTATTTGTTTTTTTCTTTTACTTTATTTTCAATTTTTTATTATTTGAATATGAATTTTAACTTTTATGTGATAATAGAACGTAAATTATAAGATATTTTTATGTTCAAAGTATAAATATGTTTGATATGTAGTAAGGTTTAAAACATCACTTGGCAGTTAATTTTAATATTTTCAAACAATTATTTAGATTCTTTTATCTCGTTAATATTTGAACTGATGTTTTTTATATGATATGATACTCAATTTTTTATTTAATGTGACATGTTAAAAACTACATATTTTAGTATCAGAAAATAACACGTATTATTATACATTTAAATGATTGTGTAAACAATAATAGCTCGAGAGGGGATGGGTTCGCATGATTTTCTAAATTTTCGTTTAATTTAATTATTTTCTGTTAAATTTTTTGAGAAAGTGTACCTTGAATTTATAATATAAATAACTAAATATAAAATTAATTCATTAACATAAAAACTTGTGCGTTGTTGGTGTGAGGCTTTTCTTTCAGATATGAATGATTGTGAAAATTCAGATATTATATTCGGCATCATCAAATTTAAATATTAGAATAAATAAATTTATCGATTATAGATGTTCAAAATGGTTAAAATTTTATATCAAAATAAAGAAAATATAAATACAATATTCCAAAAGATGGTCGAATATTAAATCGAAAATGAACGGATTAAAATGAAAAGCGACAAGTAGGAAGCCTTGAACCCTAATAAAATAGTTAAAAATATCAAATATTTTAAGTATAATATATAAAAAAGTTAGGTTTATTGCACATAGCACTAGAAGTCTATTCTCCAAAATCAAGCCACTTTTGGACGTTTGGGAAGTCGTTTTCATGGGCAAATTGATTCAACTAATACAAAATCTTTGCAATCTTTCTTCTCCACAATTTAATGTTGTCTTTTAATATGATAGGTATCCTAATATCAAAACTAATCGATTGATAATAAATATTTATATATTATACGAATATTATGTTTGAACTTAAAGAAGAATAATATTTTCTTTAATCATCGAGGTCGTTTGATGAATTCTTATTATTATACAATTAGATTGATTAATTTTCATTAGGATAACGAAACATCACATGCAATGGTACGTAGATGGTTTGTCCATTATATTGAGAACTTCGACAACTCAAGTAACGAACAAGACATGCAATAATAAAAGAACCCCGCCATGAAGGGTACAATTAACCTAGGGATGGCGGTATGACCCGAATCCGACGGGAAAACTCGAAATTTGGTCAAGTTCGGGTCAGGTTGAAAGATATCAGGTCGGGTATCGGAGATTTTTTTCAGAGATTTGTTCGGGTCGGGTTCGGGGCAAGGAATCCCCGTCCCGCCCCGATTATATATATATATATATATATATAATATTTTATATTTTATATTTTATATTTTTTATATTAATTATATATATAGTATTTTATATTTTTTATATTAATTATATAAAAAATATTTTCGGGTTCGGGTTTAGATATAATATTTCGGGTCGGGTTCAGGGACGGGGCACAAAAAATCCTCAACGGGACGTCCCAATAAAAAACCCGTCAGGATCAGATTGGGGACGAAGATTTATTTCGGATTCGAGAACGGGACGAGCAAAACCTGCCCCGAATCCGACCCGTTACCATTCCTAAATTAACCCATTTCCAGTCTCATTTATTAACTTACAACTGTGAAGCACTCTTTCCATATGATTTTTCCGAAAAATCATCTTTTAATACTTTATATATCTGTCATACATCCTTCCATATTTATTTATTAATCTAACTCCCTTTACAGATAGGCACGTCCTTGAAGTGCACCTTACGTCACGTAAGGTAAGGCGCATCCCCTGAAACGTATCTTATGAAACGTGTAAAAAATCTAGGTGTTAGTTTTATAAATATTTTTAAGATGGTGCCTAATATGTAATTAATTTCTATTATGGTAATATTTATGTAAAAACATCAACTTTATTTATTTATTTTTTGTGATTGAAAAAAAACTTTTTACATTAAAATATTTAAATATTCTTTTTCAAATTATTTTATAACTCGATAAATTTTTATTTTTATATGAAATTACACAATACGTATAATCTAGTATAGGAAAACTTTGAGGGTAAACATTTTAAAATATTAATAATTTTATAAAAGTTTTATAGTTAGTATTTCTTTTTGAAAATGATGATGATGATGATAATAAATATTTTATAATTTAAAAAATTATAAATTTTATATATTTTTAAAAAAAATTATTGACTTTTAAAATTAATTGTTTAAAAATATAAAAAATATTAAAATAAACTTTTAATTTTTTTTAACAACAATTAATAATTTTTATTAATTTTTAATAAAATTAGAATTTAATATTTATTTAATATTTTTAAAATTAATATTATAAAGAATATTTTAAATAAAGAGGTGATATTTTTTAGTTTTATATTCTTTTTTTATTGAATTTTTATTTTTTTATTACATTTTTTATGATTTTAAAAAAAAGAATAATAATTTATTTGATCTATCGATTATAATTAAAAGTTTATTTTAATATTTTTATATTTTTAAACAATTGATATTAAAAGTTATTAAACATTATTAACTGTTGTTAAAAAATAACATCACATAAAAAAATAAAATAAATAAAGTTGACGTTTTTATACTAATATCATCATAATAAAAATTAATTACATATTAGACATCATTTTAAAAATATTTACAAAATTAACCCCCGAATTTTTTATACTTTTCATAAGACGCGCTTTAGGGGTACACCTTACATTACGTGACGCCAGATTAACATAAAGCGCATTTCAAGAGCACGTCTTACTGCAAAAGATGTTAAATCGATAAATAAAGGTAAAAGGGTGTATGAAAGATAAATAATGTATTAAAAAGATAATTTTTCGAAAAAAATCACCCTCTTTTTAACCTTATCTGCTCAAATTGAAGCTGTCGCCATCAATGTGGGACCTCTAGTTCTTTTTCTTATTAAACTCTATAACGAAGATGTAATAATAAAGTTTGAATTTTATTTGGGTAAATTACATCTATGGACACCAAATCTTTAAGACGTTTCTATTTTCGTTAATTAAATACTTTTTTTAATCGCTATTATCAAATAACATTTTCGCTCTAGTGGCCCGATTATTAAATCAGACACGTGATTACATGATTACACGGTTTCGTCTGCACAAAAACCGCGTAAAGCAGAAGGGAAGAGGGAATCAGAATCAGAAATATGTGAGGGCGAAAGTTAGGAATTTGCGAGAAAAGATAATTAAGGCACTGTGATGAAATGATGTAACAGGAGAGGAGGAGGACAGCATATTGATTAAAGGAATAAAAAGGGATCGGTCCAAATACGGAAAACAGGCCTGGCCTGGAGAGCCACCGGCACCGGCCATTTAGAGGATGAGGAAGTCAGCTAGCAGTGAAGGAAGACCGTTGCAGATGAGACTAGTTTTAGGCTTTCTCTCCTGCTTAAGATGTCGGCTGGATGTTTTCCATTTCAGCAAGCTGTATTACAACCTGCAGCTTTACCATTTTGTATTTATTTTATGTGGATCCATAGTTTTTCTTGGATTTTCCAGCAATGGCTGTCTCACTTGCATGTATTTATATTCACGCAAATCACAAGTTGGATAATGTAATAGCTGTCAATTTATACTACATATTATCAACTTACTTTATTTTGTTTTAATTTAATTTAACAAAGTAAACTGGTATAAAATATGTATATTAAATTAAAATAAAATTAGTTCTCTAACCGAATGGTGATACGTGACACGACACATGACACCAATGACATGTGACATCGTTCGATTGGAGAATTAAATTTATTTTAATTTATTAAAAATATAATTAAATTGAGAGAATGTGTAAATAATACGAAATATATAATTATATCAAACTATCACGTCACTTAATTAATTTATTAACTGTTAACTGTAATTAATCCGTGATGATCACATCTTAAATAAATAAAAATAAAAGTGATCATATCTTGACTAAATAAAAATAAATATACATATCTTAAATATTTTAAAATCAATGACAAAAAAATAAATAAAATATAAACGTAAATATAAATAATAATTCGTATAATTAACCCTAATAGATAAATAAGGCTCAGATGAACGGTGTATGTGGCGCGCTTCCCCTACTTGTCGACACCTAGATTTTTGTCTTCGTTTTAAACCTTCCATGTCTTCCCCCTAATTCTCTCTCTCTTTCCCTTTCTATTTTCAATGGATTCTCTCAATTCCTAAAAGCTTCCCCCATTTGCTTTTCCTCTTAATCTCCATGACCCCAGAACCCAGCTCAACACTATCCCTCCTTTTGTCGCCTTCCCTCCGCCATGGTAACCACCACCACCATCCCTCAACCCCAAAACACCCAAACCCAAAGCGTTCTCATTGTCGGTAACTACTGCCACGATGTCCTTCTCCAAGGCGGCGCCGTCGTCGCCGATACCCTCGGCGGAGCCGCCTCTTTCATCTCCAACGTCTTTAGCTCCCTCTCCGTTTCATTCCATCTAACATCGAAAGTCGGCTTCGATTTTAAATACCCGGTTAATCACGACCCCATCGTGATCCCCACCTCTAAAACCACCGTTTTCCATGCCTATTTCGATCAGGGCCATGCCGAGAATGCTCATCAAGATCGGGTCTTGAAACGGGTAGAGGTTTGCGATCCGATTAATTCGTCGGATCTGCCCGATAAAAGGTTCTCTTTCGGAATGGCGGTTGGGGTCGGCGGGGAGATATTGCCCGAAACGCTGGAAAATATGGTTGAAATATGCGACGCCGTCTTCGTCGATGTCCAAGCTTTGATCCGTACATTTGACAAAAACGACGGGACGGTAAAGCTTGTGGGTTTAAAAGAGAGTGGGTTTTACCATTTGTTACCGCGGGTACAGTTTTTGAAGGCGTCATCGGACGAGGCGCTGTTTATGGATGTTGATGAAGTGAAGCAAATGTGTTGTGTGGTGGTAACGCATGGGAAAGATGGGTGTGAAGTTCATTGGAAAGAAGGGGTAATGAAAATTGACCCTTTCGTGGCTAACCAGATTGATCCGACCGGCGCCGGAGATAGCTTTTTGGGTGGGTTTGTCGGCGGATTGGTCCATGGGTTGGTTGTTTCCGATGCTGCTCTGGTGGGTAACCTTTTTGGTTCACTTACTGTTGGTCAAATTGGTCTCCCTACGTTCGACTCGAGATTGTTACAGGTTTGTTCATTCATATTTTCTGGGTATTTTGGTGTTACATTCACTTTCATGGATATGAAATTGTTTCTGCTGACATTTAGGTACTGTTTCATTGACTTTGTTCTTTTTTTCCCCTCTCAGAATGTGCTGTTTCAGTGATTTGATGATGAAATTTATTGTTTTAATGTTGGCAAATGGTATTATTTTACAATATTGATGCTGGTTGCATGTAATGGAACAATTTGAAATGTGCATTGATTGAAAGTGTCATTTTGGGTTGCACAAGTACATGCATGGCTATATTATTCAAGAAGAGTGAATTATGTGGATCTCTGCGTTGGAAGTGGGTTAAATGTTTAGAATGTCCACTGTATGTAGAGTCGAATTGATGTCACCTGGAAAGGTGGACCATATGATAGTCATGCTGCTGCTCTTTTATCCAATATCTGTACTTGGAATCCAAGTGCATGTTTTCTTCCCATGGTTAAAAATATAGGAACCTTATTTTTGTCTGTAGTATATGTTCAGTCCACTGTAATGCGGCATAAGTTGTACATTACTGTTATGTATACGCTTTCGAAACTGAAATTTGCAACTTTCTTAGCTCTATCCTCGAGGAACTAGATAGTATAATTATTAAAAAAATCATTGTTAGGGAACTCTGGTTAGTTATTGTGTGTGTTTGTCGACGGATACAACTCCTTTGTGTATTTTCTCCCCCTTTGCTCTACGATGATTTGTTGATGCAAGATTTTATGAAATGGCACTGTTAAATGCATTAAATACTGCTGTGAATTTGTCTTAGTTGAATTATTCATGAAGTGTAAAAGTATTGCTTTATCTTCACCATTGTGTCTTAAACGAAGACATTAGGTTGTTTTTATTATCCCATTCCAGACTTTATTTATTTGACATTCATGTTAAGACATTACTCTTGAGTCTCGCTCGACCGACGTGAGAGGCTTCTTCTAGAAAGTCTTTAACTCTAGAAACATAACACACGTGCATCCTATTATTTTTGTTCTTTTTATCATGGCTTCTTAGGGAACTTGTAATGTGCTACTCGTATAGCATTTGGCTACTGAAAGGTTGGGGTATTGAGTGAAAACCATGCACTCGAGATTCCATAAAACCTGGCGAATGCTTCTTTCATAAATGGTGTGTTACTAAGTTTCTCCGTCTCTTTTGACATTCCAGAGAATTAAGGATGAAGTGCAAAGAAGGAAGCTGCACAGTACAAGCTGGTTTGAGAACGAAGATGATGATTCGATGAGTTTCACAAAGCCGGCCGGGCATGAAGAATTCCATGCTTCCCTTGCATCGAGTAAATTAGGTTCAACATGCTCCGTTCCAGGGAGCATAGAGCAGGTTACCCGGCCCCAATGTAACGGGCAGCAGAAGTTGTTAGTAGATTCTGTTTATGATAAACCAATTTAAGCAGTAGAGGATGCAGCCAGCATTAGCGGGAGCATTTGAGTGAAGAGCCTTTAAATGAGAAGCGAATTCTAACTTGGTAAATACTTGTAGCAACAATGCTTGCATGGTAATGTATATTTTAGAAAAAAAAGACATTCTTATGCTGCAGTTTCATTTAATTAATTAATTAATTAATGTTTTGAATATCATGTTAGCAATTTTTGAAAAAAAATAATAAAGTTTAGGTACTAAAACAGATCAAAATTGATATTTTAGGTATTAAATACGTTGAATTTTTAACAGCGGATACTAAAATGAAACAAAAATTAATCGTTAAGTATAATTTAAAAAAATATATGATATTTTAGGTATTAAAATGGATCAGAATGATAGTTTAAATAATAAATGTATAATTTATCATATTATTATGAACTTTACATCAAAGTTTTGGGTACTAATCAGAATTGTTTTCAATTCTTGGTACTAATCAAAATTGTTTTCAAAAGTCTTTATTTGGGGCTGGCAAAAGTCTTTATTTGGGGCTAGCAAAATGAAAATTGAATGAGTGTTTATAAGGGTAGTATTTGTTTTAATTTTTATTTAATTTGATGATGAATTTTCAAATATTTTGTAATTTCTGGTTCAAGTAAACTTTTAATAATTTGATGATGAACTATCAAATATTTCTGTATTTTTTTATGCTTGAACCAAAACTTTAAAACTTTTAGGAATAAATATAATTATTTAATTATTGAGGTAACTTAGTATGTAATTCATTGCAATTTTAATGACAACTTACCGGAAATTTTAGATTATATGATCTAAAATTAAATATAATAAGTAATAACTTCATATTAAATCAAGTAATAGAAAAAGATGATATATGCACGTGAAAAGATCTTTTTAACATTGTTTTTCATAAATAAATTAACATTATTATTTATAAGATAAACTACGACAATGATCATTAATGTTTAAGTTAGTGTTTGTTTGTTACAAAATGATCTCTCAACGTTAACTGCAGTTATTAAACGCGACAAAAAAATATAACTAGACCGTTATCTATTAACTTATCAATTGACCATTATTTTAATCTACCCTTCTATTCCATCTCCACTATCTCATCTCTATGTTTCATTTCAACTCAAAACGCACCATTTTCACTACTTCAATCTTCATCTTTTCTGCCCCTTCCAATCTCTCCACCATATTCCTTTCCCCTTCTATTACTTGCATTCTTCGCCTCCTTCACCTCTCAAAACCCCTCTACCATTGATTCTCTACATGAATTGGAAAACGAGAATAAGTCCATGAGTTCCGAGTTCTTCTCACAAAGCTTAGACTTTACTAGCTTTTGAATGCATCTCACAAAGCTTATGCCATCTATGGTAATCCATGAAATGGTAAATTTCACAATTTCCTGAACCTCCACTCAAAATTTTCTTCTTCGATCCCACTAGTTCCATGTGTTGCGGAAGACGGCTATCGGATAGAGCAAAATCGTAACTGATAATTTGAGAAAATAAAAATAAAGATAAATAAGAGACAAAATTTACGTGGAAAACCCCTAAATAATATAGGGTAAAAACCACGGGCAACGATAGAAGAATTTCACTATGAGAAAATAGGAATTACAACATCTCTTGATTTACCAAGGAGAAAACAATGATAATTCTCTCTTGATAAAAAAGAGAAAACAACTCTCAAGAAACTCTCTAAATTCTCTAGTATTGGGAGAAAACTAGAATGATTTGGGATGGTTTTGAAGCTAAATGAGCTAGGGTATTTATAGTTCAAACTTAATACTAATCTTATAAATACCCTAAAGTACAATGATTAAATTATGATATTACCATTGTCCAAAAAATCAACATTTTCCAGATACTTTCGATGCCAAATTTCTAGCTAATTTCGGTGCATTTATTGTGAACACTTTCCACCGAAATTTGCCATCAATTTGGCCAATTGAATGTTGACTTTTCAACAATCTCTCACTTGAAGACTTGATTGGAACAATCATATCTTCACACCATTCTTTCTACCTTGTACCTGTATGTTGCTTACGTCTCTGACAGGCCACAGAAGGATCAACACCAGGTAAATTTATCAGCGTTGATCGCCTTTGTCATGAAATCTGCTATGTTGTCTTTGGTATGGATCTTCTGCATATCTATCGTCCTTTCTTCCACCTTTTCACAAATGAAATGGTACTGAACTCGTATGTGTTTTGTTCTTGAATGAAATGTTGGATTCCTTGCTGAATGCAAGGCGCTTTGACTGTCACAAAACAGAGAGACATACTCTTGATTGTGCCTAAGCTCCTCCAATAACATCTTCAACCAAATTGCTTCTTTACTGGCTTATGTAGCTGCTACATATTCTGCCTCTGTTGTGGATGTAGCCACATCTGACTGCAATTTTGAAACCCAGCTTATAACTCCACTAACAACTTTGAACACATATCTTGTAGTAGATTTGCTTTTATCCAAATCCCCTGTATAGTCAGAATCTACATACCCATTGATTAGTAAGTTTGATCCTTCGTAATATAATGCAATATTTGAGGTCCCTTTGATGTATCTCAGGATCCTCTTTAATGTATTCCAATGCTCTTTGCCTGGATTCGCCATGTACTGACTAACCACTCCCACTGCTTGTGTAATGTCTGGTCTTGTGCATATCATAGCGAACATTAAACTTCCCACTGTTGATGTATACAACACTCAAGACATCTTCATCCTCTCTTCTTCACTGTTAGGACTCATACTGGAGGATAATTTGAAGTTAATAGGAAGAGGGGTAGAAATTGACTTACTATCTTGCATGTTGAATCGTGACAATATCTTCTTCAAGTAATTCTTTTGTGAAAGCCAAATCTTCCTATTACATCTGTCTTGGTGAATTTGCATCCCTATAATCTTGTTTGCTGATCTTAAGTCCTTCATTTCAAATTCCCTAGCCAGTTGTGCCTTCAATTCTTCAATATGATCTTTGTTGGGTTCTGCAACCAACATGTCATCCACATACAACAGCAATATAACAAAATCTTTATCACCAGACCTCTTGAAATAAGTACAAGGGTTTGCATTAAGTCTGTTGTATCCAAGACACATAATGAAGGAATCAAATCTCTTATACCAACACCTCGGTGCCTGCTTTAGACCGTACAAAGATTTTTTAACACCCCTAACCCATACCCGACCCGGATACGAGTCTGAGATTTTACATTGACTTTTTAAAAGAATATTCTTACAAACTATAAAAATATTTGAACTTATATTAAGAAAATACAATAAATACTATTAAATTATGCTTCATTATAAAAATTTGAAAAAAATATGTATTTATGAATAGTAATATATGGTATGAATAGTATCGTGAACAATATCATGAACTGTGAAAAATTTCGAATATAAATTGTGTATCGATACACTGCTACAGTAACTTTGACAAAATACGTATAAATTCGTAAAAAGCTAAGTTTTCATTTGTATAAAATTACCATTTACATATACACATTTAAAACAATACAAAACTCAATCATATGATTTTACAAAACCGATTAGAACATATCGGATTTAAACCTTTATTTACATGCCAATCACTATCATTATTACAAAATACATACTATACATTTCTTTTCTGATATGATCTTTGGAAAAGAGAAACTAACATGTCTTGCATAACTTTTACCAATCTTCCTCTTCTCGGAACCTACGCGTGAAACAATCACACGCTAAGTCGTTAACTTAGTGAGGCATGAAAACATATGATATTACTATACTCATATCAATGCATAACAATTAATACTATCATATCATATAAAAGCATATCTCCCATTGTATAACCAATGCACACATATACATATATCATTAACATACTTATTAGTACTCATATTACTATCACTAATTCCTTTTTATCATGTAATCATACACTGTACCTTTTTATACTCATCATCGGGCATCCATGTCATTTCACAACAGAGCACACATAGTATCATATCAAGTTATTTATCATCTTTAAAGCCAATGTATACTATTGAGAACTTAAGGTATGTGAGTGCGTTGAGGTTGTGCACCACTAAACTGTCACTACAGCTCGTATAAATGTCCCGAATGACCTATCCAGAGGTTATAAAGAACCTCGTCAAATGTCCATAGGTCCCGAAGAACCTAGGTAAACTGTCCATATGTTCCTTTAAACATAGGTATACTATCCATGTAATACCCCCAACCCGTACCCGACCCGGATATGAGTCCGAGGTGTCACATTGACTTTTCAAACCTTGACTCTTGAATAAATTCAAAGAAAATTTAAAACTTTAATTAAAGTAAAAGCAATTTATTTACATAACTTGACCATAATAACTAAAATTAATCAGAGCATATTGACTCAATCCTTTAGTACATGCCAATTATATTCATAATAACCAAAATCATTTAAATCATCTATTTTCTGATCTGAAATTTGTAAGGGAGATGCTGACCTATCTTGCTCTCTTAGCTTTTCTTCTAGCTTTCCAGAACCTACGTGTGAAACACTCACACGCTAAGTCGATGAATTAGTGAGGCAAATAAAAATTATAATGCACTTAATAACATTTAACCATGCATGCATGTTTCATTCTATCATGTTATACTAAATCACCTTATTCCATCATAGCATACAAAATCATATTAGATTACCTAACAAAATATACCTACATACACATAAAGCATCATCAACAATTTATCTTTTAATCACATACTTTTATACTTAAACCCCTTAATCAAACAATATACACACACCCAATATCATATCATTTCTACAACATTTATCATATCACAAACATATATTTGTTATTATCTCCTGATTAGCCCATGGACATATGTGAGAACTATAGGTATGTGAGTCTATAGAGGTTGTGCACTAATGCTGTCACCACAGCTCGTATAATTGCACCGAAGTGCCACATAGAATTTGCACCGTAGTGCCATATAAGATTTTCCATAAGGACCACATATAAATTCCTTAAGAACCATATACATATACCAAGGATCAAGTAAGTGTCTCAAAAGACCTCATACATGCTCCAAAGAATACATATACGTCCCGAAGGACCACATAGAAAATTCCTTAATAATCATATACATATGCTAAGGACCAAATATGTGTCGCAAAGGACCTCATAGATATTCTATAGGATACCTATATATCCCGAAGGACC